CTGGGCATCCCACACCAGGGAGGAGGGCAGGCTAGGAGAAGGGGCTTTGTGCGGGTGGCAGAGCAGGGAACCTTCGGGGGCGGGAGAGGAATGTGGCCGGTGCTGGTGGCTCCGCATTCCTTTCAACACACTGCCACGGGAGCGTGCCTGTCCCGATAAGTGCTCACCCTAATGACGGGTAGCCCGGGAATCCAGTCGAGAGGAGATCTGTCCTGGTTTGCTCAGGGCCGCGGGCCGAGAGATCGGGCGACGAAGACGTGCCGCTCAGCGGACACAACCAGTGCTCTCTATTCGGCAGTGAGGTTCTTGTGACCGCTCCAGGGGGAGGGGTGACCACGGGGCCCCAGTGGTTCACAGGATGGGAATGGGCTTTTGGAACAAACAGCATCAAGTGGCTTTCCTGGGGAATATCTAGCGGGAGGCGAATCTGGTTAAGCAAAAGCCCAGCCTTTCGAAGCTCGGGGAGGTACCCGAGGGTCAGGCCAGCGTCTGCTGATCACCTGTTACTCGAGACGCCGATCAAAGGGCCAGACTGTATCGGGGAAGTTTTGATGCGGAATCTGTGCCGGTTGAGAACCTGAACCCCCTGGGGAAAGCCCCAGGGTAGGTTCTGAAGGACTGACACACCAGAGCCTTTGTTGGAGGTGGGAGGCTGACCTCTGAGAACCTCTTTAGCATCCAAACCAGTTTGTTGTGAGTCTTTGAATGTTTCCTCTGGAAGGCTTTCACCTTTGGAATAAGGGGGCTTGCTTATAACTCGCTGTGGGGTAACTTGGGACTGCGGGCTCTCCACCGAGCGAGCAAAGCGCAAACCCCGGCCTTTAAGCCTTCAAAGGAGGGGAACCAATGCAGCGCTCTGCCCAGGAGAGGAGACAGCCGAGGCGCAGGGAGCTGAAAGTGGGTGCCCTGGAGGGACGCTCAGAGGAGTACAGTTCGCTTGCCCTGAACTGTGACAGCAACATCACGCGGCACACGCTCCTCCCTCCGTGTTTGCAGTTCTGAGCTGCTGTCCAGGACCACACGGAGCCCTGGCTGGGGAGGGCCCTACATGTGGGAGTGGAGTTACGTTCTGAGCAGCCGGGTTTGGAGAAACCGCTGAGCCCCGTACTGCCTGAGGCCTGAACTTACCATCCAGCCAACTGTGACCCGTACAAAGCAGGGAGGGCAGCCGGTGCGACACTGCTCCTAGGTTTGCCGGGCAGGCAACAGAGCGACACCGGTATGTGTCCTGGTGTCTCTTCTGTTGCCCAGTTAGTAGCCGTGAAGCTGACCAGAGCCTTGTTCATTTCATTTGATGCTGCTTGGCACAACGCCGGCTGGCTGGCTGGCTGGCTGCAGGCTAAGGAAGTTGGCCCATGTAGCTTTATAGCCAGATCATATTCAGAAGCTTTGCAGTCGTGAGCTAGAAGTTTTTTTAATTACATTGAAATTATATGTAAATGGATGGCTTAGGCCCTTGGCTTTCCAGATACAGCTTCCCACGCACGTGAACATAGATGTCAGCTTTTCAGATCCTACCTGGTTTTCTCTTCCCGCAGAATTGTATCTGCCACTCTTGTTCTGCGTGAGTGTCCTGGAGGGACTTGGGCCGCGTAGGCCCATCACCAGGGAAGTCCAACTCTGCTCTCTTAGCCGGTTTCCGGGTGTGCTGGCGTCATGCGGGTTGCAAACGGGGTCCCTGCAATAAAAGCAGGGGGACGATTTTAAAAAGCTGCTTCACAACAGGAATAGAATCCCGTGAATACTCCTCAGTCTGGACCGGGGTTCGAGGCTTCCCCGGTGCTGCGGGAAATGGAGCGAGCTCAGAGCTTGCAGCTGTCTGTCCCAGCTCCCCGAGGTCAGCCCCCAGCTCAGCTCCCCGTGCCCGGTTCTGTGAGCCGCGGGGCAGATCATTCTTCGCTTTGTGTCCCCCCTCCCAGCCTGGGCCTCCGTGGAGCTGAGGGTGGGTTTCCATCCTGCGCGTGGCTGTGTAGCCGAACTGAGCAGGGTTTTCTCTCTTTGGCAGGCCACTGCAATGTCCGTGGATTGTCTTGGGCAGCATGCCGTGCTGTCTGGGTGAGTGTGGCGCCCTCCGAGGGAGATCTCTGGCAGGAGGCCCATCCTGGACGGGAAAGCGAATGTTCGGTGGGAGGAGGGGAGCGGAATCGCTGGCTGGGCCGCGCGCGGTGCCAATGCGCGGGAGGGAAAGGCACAAACGTTCACCCAACTCTGCTGCTGCGGCGGAGCCTGGGGAGGGCTGGGGCGCCGGCGCGGCTGAGCCTGGGATTCTGTTGGAAGTGCGGATCGCCGGGGGGCATCGTTCATCCATGGACTCCTACATGGTGCCAGTGGGCAGGAGGTCCTGGGGTGGCCTGTTGGCCCCCCACCGGGTCAATCCGTGCACTACAGTTACCTACTAACCGAGTGCCCTGGCTTGTCCTACCAGGGCTTTCCAAAGCCCATCCCCCACCCCCGCTGCTGTTGGCTGTTGTGTGGGACCCTGGGGCGTCACTTCCTTGGGGGGCTGGGCATGGCCGAGGAACTAGGGGGTGGCCGGAGAGCAGCTGCTCCTCTGGACATTGGCCCTTGCCTTGCCTTGCCTGCCCTCCGGACCCTGCAGGCCTGCCGGAGGGAGAAGTGGCTCTGGCGTTTCCCTGAGTGGGCACCGCAAGGCCAGGCTCCCAGCAGACACGTTGCTCTTTGCTTACACCCTGGAGATCTGTCCCTCGGAGGCGGAGGGCTAGACGGCCCCAGGCTGTTGGGGGGAGCGCCCATCCCACCAGTGGTGTGGGGGACGTGCCGCGGCAGAGTCTGCAGTCCAGTCGCGGCCGGAGCGATCCCCTGGCATGTGCCGGGGACAGGGAGGTTCCACGGCACCGCCTCCCTCCCGCACTGTGGCTCCGGGGAGGCTGGGCTGGAACCCCCGGCTCTGCCTGCGCTTTGCTCCCACCTGCCACGTTCCTGGGGGCTACGTCCTCACTGCCAGCACAGCCTGCTGTCTTCCACGCGAGGGCCGTGGCTGCTGCCGGCCCCGATGTGCTCCATGCTCCTTCCTGCCCCGGTCGGAGCAGAGACGCCGTCTGTGGCTACCGGCCCCTCCAACTGGCAGCCACGGGCCGCTTTCTCCCCCCCCGCGCCCCGTCTGCACAGGGCAGCTGGCAGCACCGGCCCAACGGGATCCCACTCCCACAGGCACGGTTGGCTTTGCCCAGCTAGCAAACCTCGGGGGGCGCGTGGCGTGGCATCTGCGCTGCGCCCCACCCACAGCCAAGCCCATTGCCAGGCCCCTGTCCGCCAGCAGGCCCTGCGCATGCCTGGCTCCCCCGCAGAACCTACGTTTGAGGGCGTAGCAGGCACTTCTGAGTGTGCTAACGCCGGCGTGCAAAGGGAGCCCAGCCCGCTTGCTCCTCTTGGCCGCGCTGTCCCGGGCCCAGCAGGGCTGGGAGCGGGCGGTACCTGTGCCCCTCGTGCGGCCGGTCCTCCGTGAGTAGCTCCAGCCTCCCCCTCTTGGCCGCGCTGTCCCGGGCCCAGTACGGCTGGTAGCTGGCGGTACCTGTGCCCCTCGTGCGGCCGGTCCTCCGTGAGTAGCTCCAGCCTGTCCCACGAGCTTCCCACACGGGGGCCGAGGGAGTTCAGGGTTTGCGGGAGTCGTTCTGACCTGTGCTTCATCAAAGGCTCCCCTTCCTCGCGGCCTGGGGAGCCGACTGTGGCCTGACCGTGGGTTCGGCCC